TTTTGTGTGTTCCCATTTGTTATATCCTATATTTCTTAGTTTTTATTTTCAACAATAATTTTACTTCAAAATTGTGCTTAGATACTTTTATTCTATATTTTTCGATCAAAAGATATTACAATGTTGAATAAATACTACATCAGATTCTAAATATAAAAAAAAAGTAAAATTCATGTTTCTTATTAACAAATATAAAACTTTAACTAATCTTACTTAATATTATGCATTAGTGTTATATTTTTCATGATTCATTTGTCTTTAATATCAATTTTTAAGAAATTATAATTTTAAAAAGTAGGTTATTTTTTAAAATAAAATTAATATAATTAAATTATATTATTTTCTTCTTATAATAAATGTCATTCTATATTATTTTACATATATGAATAAAAGTTAATAATAAATAAAAGAGAATAATAATTTTATGAAATGAAATTTGTAATTAATCTTTTTTATTACAAATGATAAAACATAAAAATATTTTTCTTCAAACATGGTATTAATTAACTTTTTTGATTAGTGTGAATTGATTTTTAATCTTGAGTTCTTGACTCCTAAAAAATTAAGAATTTGACACCCACACCGATTAACATAAAATATATTTTTTTTTGTAAAAAAAATAATAAATGACATCTTTAACACACACATGCCAATTAACATAAAATACAATCTTTGACCTGCTTAAAAAATGTGTTTGAAGCAGAAAAAAAAAAGTGTTTGGACAAATATTTGTAGCTTATGGAATATCTTTTACAGAATGTAAATGTAGTTTAAATTTTTTACAAATATGTTTGCTAATCTTAATTAATTTTACATTAAAATTATACTTTTATCACCTAACCGGGTTAACCGCAAAATCAACATAAAATACACACTATTTTAAGTTTGAATTTTGGTATCTCAATATAATTTTGATAAATAAGAAAAATTAATATTGATCAAAATAGTTAAAATTAAAATAACATGAAACGTTACATTCAGTATTGAAATATTTTTATTAAAAATATTAACAACACAGAGTCGTTACATTCAGCATTAATATATTTTTATTAAAAATTAATGAAAAATATCTTAATAACATTAGTAACCGAAAGTGAAGAAATGTAGTTGAATATCTTAATTATATTCCAATCAAATAATATAGTATTTAATTTTCCTTCCGTCTTATAATAAATATTGTTTGAAACAAGAAAAAAAAAAAAAAGTCTTAACATAAGTATTGTTTTAATTTTTTTTAACGTAATATTAGCTTTTTTTTTCTTCAACACCTATCAACTATCTCTTTTAATTTTCATATACATCTTTAATAATATTATTTTGTTGTATCGTTTATAATGATAAGAATAATAATAAAATTAATATTGTAAAATTATTTTTTATTTATTAATTTATATAAAATAATGTATGACAATTAGTATAAGATGAAAAGGGTAATGTTTTTTTCTCCATTTGAAAGAATATATAAATAACTTATTTTCACTTATCTTATTCTATATGTGTATAAGGATGTTTGAGCAAAGTTGTAAAATATCTTATGTATAATTAATTTTTAGTTTTCGTAAAATAAATAAATTTTGGTTTGATCCCTAAAAAATATACTTTTTTTATTTTCAATATATTATAATTTAAAGTCATTATTTCTTATCCTTGTTGGCTATTTTGAAGTAAACGAATAATTATCATTTTAATGATTTTACAATTTTTTAGATATATCAAATAACATTGACATTGATGAAACTAGTGGTCTTCAACTAACTCCATTAATGTTTTAATCTTCATCCATAGATTTCTAAACTTCATATTAAATTTGCAAATGGACAAAGGAAGGTGAAAGTGTGCCACTATAACGTAAAGATAAGCAACATGTGAAGGACTTGTCATAATATTATATATATATATATATATATATATATTTATATGGGGTGGATTCTCCTAAGAGCTAACTAAGAATTTATGAGAGGGAAATTTCAACACAATTTCATTCACCAACCAAATGACATATAGATACTATGAAAAGTCCTATATAAAAAGTTTGACAACTTTTGGTGGAAGTTAAACTAATTATGTTTAAGTGTAACTAATGTTTTGTTAACTTGTATATGAGACAATTTTCTCTAGTTATATTTTGAAATTTGAACTTTTCACCTAAAAATGTCACTATTTTAAATTCTAAAGAGTCAATGAAAGCATGTCACATGATTAAGTGCATAAAGTGTGACTAGATGTGAACATTTAAATTTAAAAGAGTCATTAAGAACATGCAACATGACAAGATGCTAAAAGTGTGACTAGTGTATAAAATATATGACTCGATGAAATTTGAAAGAACCATGAAAATTATAAATTAAGTGGTAGATGTCCATTTTAGGGCTTGTAGACTCCCCGCTTTCTCATGGGCTAAACAAACCCAATAAACACATCTTATTACTAGTTACACATCCTAAGCAAATACATGAAAATAAATTCATAAATTATTTAATAAAAAAATATATGATCATTAAAGAGCTTGAACATCCTTCTTTCAAACTTAGTTCACTTTTTTTAATCTATTATGGACGTGACTCCTTAACATGATATCATGAGACATAATATTACTAATAGTTGTATATAACATTTAGGATGTTTACTTAATCTTTTGATAAATAAAAAATGATCACATAGAAAATGAGGAATTAAAAACAATAATTTTAAGATGTAAAATAGAAAAAATTTTAAAATCAAAATCAATTAATTTTGTAGATACTAAAAATATTTTTAAGTCTTTTTTATTTTATTTTTAGCCAAAAATTGATTTATAACATTTTAATTTTTAAAATAAGATAACATCTTATAAATATTTAAATAATAATATACGTAAATATTTTAAAATTATATAAATGATTATTAATATGTATATTAAAATATAATAATTTATTAAATTTTAAACATTTATAATATAAATTTTGATTACATAAAAATTTATTAAATAAAATTTTAAATAAATTAATTGTCGAAATGAGTAATTCATCACGTCATAAATATTTTTCACTCAATTATATCACAAACTAATCTTGCTTAATGGATTCGAAAGATCTTTTACAAATGATGAATACTGAAGAGCAGATATTTACGAAGAAAGTGTGTCTTACTATACCAAGTGGTCAAAAGCAAGGGATTTGACAGGATACAGGAACGGTGGACGAAGAAAGGGTTGAAAATTGAAATGATCTAAAACTGATTAACTCCATTTTTTTGGCACTTTCTCTAGCTCTAGCTGCTACCTACAAACATGTTGCCCATCCTGCTTCCTGCCATACCAATATATAATTATATATGTATGTGAAATTTAAAAATTATTTTATATTTTATTCTATAAATTTAAATTAATATATATGATATTATTTTTATAATTATTCGTGAATTTTATATTCTGTTTTATTGAATAAATTTATTTAAAAATGATTTTAAAATGTTTAATTTTATTTAAATATAAAAAAACCAGATCTTATTTAATAAATCGGTTTCAAGAGAAAAAAATATTGACAAATAATCAAAATTTTAAAATTTCAAAATCTAAGAAACAATTTATTTTTTTACAAATATAAGTTATTATCCCAAATAACATCTTATTTCACAAACAGATTTTTTTTTATTTACAAAAAACAGCTAAATCTTAGGAAACAATATTTTCCAAACACACTCTAAATCCGTGAAAGTACCGATTCTCATTTTATATTCATGGTTTATTTAATCATTTGTTTATATTTTAATATCATATAATATTTTAGTAATTAAATTTCGTAAAATATTAAAGATTGAGATATATAAATAATAAATAACAATAAATGACAAAAAAAAGAAGATAAAACTTAATAATTAGAAAAATAAATTATACTTATGTGAACAAAAACTAAATGTATATTTTTATTTATCATAATTTTTTTTCAATTAAATAATATAATAATTATATGATAAACAAAAGTCTACTTACCCTCATTGAGTTAACTTTAAAAAAAAAATTAATTGTTTTTACACAAATAATAACAAAAATTAATATTTTTTATATAACTGTGTCTGACTCAACTTTTACCTATATGTAGAAATAAAATTACAAATAAGTTGAGTCAAATGAATTTTTAACCAACTCCGAATATGTGAATTTAGAAAGATGTTAGGTTAGTTAAAATTCATTCCGTTGATGATAAAATAAAAGCTCACAAAAATAATTAACTTTATTTAAGAGAAACACCTTTAAGAGTTTAAAGGGAAATTTTTAAAATTCCATGTACTAAATTGGAAAAAATAACACAGAGGGATCAAAATTTTATTTAAACATATTATTATTTTTAATTATTTAAAATCAGCTAAAGAAAATAAAAATCCTATTATAAAATGATGTTCTATATTGTCCACATGTTCCACATAATGTTTCATTTGAGTACGCGTGAGATTGATGTGGACGTGTATCACACTCGTAATTCTTTTTTATCAGTTATCACACATGAATTTATTCCATCGTATAAAAGTTAATGTATAGGTGCCTAATGTTTTTTCCCCCTCTTTTTACCTAATTAAATTGGTGCCTCATGTAGTGGCGCGAACGTGCGTTGTGACTTGCTAGTGCATCGCAGATGAATTTAATAAACTAATTGGAGCATGTTATATAATAATTTTTAGAAAAAAAAATAAAAAGAAAACTAAAATATAACAAATATAATTTAACAAATATAATTTTGTATTATAACACTAAAATAAATTCTCGTGATTTCTAATACAGTTTAAGTAAAATTTATTTATTCTCTAAACAACATTCTTTGAAGTTGTCATTATTTGGATCTTAATAAAAAAAGGTTTTCCAACACAATTTTTAAAGTATGTTTTTAATCTATTTTATTATTAACTTAAAATTAATATAAATAATATTTTAAACATGTATAAAATATAATATTTAAAAAAAAGAGTTATGGAAGTGTAAGAGGGTAAGTAATTAGATTATAGACAGAAAAAGGGAAAATGTGAATGGCGTTGAGAGAGCGAACTTGTTCAAAAGGCGGTCCTCCATTCCCGGCCACACCCACACGCACTCTCTCTCACACACACTATATCTCTCATTCACGACAACCACCAAAAAAATGGGCTCAGAGGAACCAATCCCAATTGGAGAATGGCGAAACTCTCAGAGACGTACGCCTGCGCACCCTCCACCGAGCGAGGCCGCGGCATCCTCATCTCCGGCGACTCCAAATCCAACAACATTCTCTACTGCACGGCCCGCTCCGTCATCATCCGCAACCTCGACAATCCCCTCCAGATCTCCGTCTACGGAGAGCACGCCTACCCCGTCACGGTGGCGCGCTACTCCCCCAACGGCGAGTGGATCGCCTCCGCGGACGTCTCCGGCACCATCCGCATATGGGGGACCCACAACGATTTCGTTCTCAAGAACGAGTTTCGTGTCCTCTCCGGTCGGATCGATGACCTGCAATGGTCCCTCGACGGGATGCGGATCGTTGCCTGTGGGGATGGCAAGGGCAAGTCCTTCGTTCGCGCCTTTATGTAACTAACTCTTCTTTCTTTTTATTTCACTTTTTTATTATTCTATATTTTTTAATCATATTTACTCATAATTTTATACTCAACCCTTATTCAATAAAATCTATATGGTAATTTTATACTTTTTAACTTTAAATAACCTTTTAAATAAGAATTACGATGAAAATAATTAAACATTTTTTTTTTCTTTTGAGGACAGACAGAACTTATGAGTACATATTTTCCCAACCTTTTAGTTTATATATATATATATTGGTTAATTTTAGGCTTTGTATTTTATTATTATATAAAAGATAAAATTTATAAAAATAATAAAATACTACTTCTGTTTAATTTTAGGCTTTGTATTTTATTATTATATAAAAGATAAAATTTATAAAAAAAATAAAGACTAAAAGAATATAATATATATATATATATATAAATTAAAATAAAATATTTTTAATTATACAAATTAAAGATTAAATTTATTAAACTATAGTGACTAATAAATCAGGACAGTAGTTAAAGAATTTATCCATATATATATATGGAGAGAGAGGATCCGTTTACTTCAAAAATAAGTCTACTTAGACTTACTTTATTTAATAACTCATGTTTTACATCAAATTTTAATGATCTAACCATTAAATTTAAAGTTCTTAATACATAGATTAAATTTACAAATTTTTTAAAAATTTGAAAATCATTTGATATTTTGTTTTATTAAATCAAATAAATGTATAAATTAATTTTATGATTATCCGTCAAATTTGAATTAATAAAATGAAGTATCAAATGGTTTTTAATTTTTTTTAAAAATTTACAGATTTAATCTTGCATTAAGAACTTTAAATTCAACGATTAAATCGTTAAAATTTGATGTAGAATGAGTTATTGACCGGTATAAATCTAGGTAGACTTACTCGTGAAGTAAACATATCCCTCTT